TGGCAAACATGCTAGGTTGTACTTTTTATGAAGTGTCTGTCAGTGAGAACTACAACGATGTCTTCAATGCCTTCCATGTCCTGTGTAAAGAAGTTAGTAAACAACAAATAACTAGCACCCCTGAGAAAAGAAGAACCTCTCTTATCCCAAGGCCAAAGTCGCCAAACATGCAGGATCTGAAGAGAAGGTTTAAGCAAGCTTTGTCTGCTAAAGTTAGGACTGTCACTTCTGTCTGAAAGCAAAGCTAAGTGGGGGTTTTATCTTCTCAACCTGTTGTCATAAAGTTCCAACTTTGGAATGTTAAACACTGGCACTATGGAGTCCAAGGCCGTGTGACAGAAGGATGGTTCAGAGGTTCTTTTGAACTGCTGTAGAAATAAACCATTGCTTAAAGGAGAAACAAGCGTGAGGCTTGAATAAACTCCTTAAGTGAATGGTAGAACATCTTAATTTTAAAACCAAACTTTTAGTAATTGAAAAAAAAAAAACAATCCACAAAACTTCAGTCTTGCTTTCCTAGGATGGGACACAGTTGGCTTGATGTACAACCACATCATTTACGAAGTTTGGTGACCAAAAAAAATGCCCCGAACTGCAGCTTACTTATTGGAAATAACCATTTGAGTCTTACGGTTGTATGCTTGTTTTTGGTATTGGATGAAGGACAGCATGTATGTATTTTTATGCTCAGTAGAGCTTGATTTTACCCATGTATTCTAAAGCACAAATGAGCTTATTTTGAAAAGTCAGTGTAAAATGAGTGGCTGTGGCTGGGTTTCATGATTGTAAAAACAATGCTACACTATTTTTACTCGCTACATTATTACTGAGGGTTTGACCAGAATTTTTGTACACAAAAATATTGTGCACAGGGTCTAAGTGTATTTTATCATTACAAATCACTTGTTTTTTTTTTACTGTCTGAAAAATATTGTCGAGATTAATTTTAAAATGTTACACTACTGCTACTTTTCAGATGCAAGTCCCGAGTTGAAATGATGATCCGTGGTAACTGCTCAGTGCAAAATCTTTTCCATTTCCCCCCAGCCCCATTGTGTGTAGTAAGCATGGAAGGAACTCACTTTGTCAATTCAGTATTGTAATGATATATACTGTTGGCTCTAGGCAGTGAAGCTGGTTGGATTTTTCTTAGCTGAGCCCTTTCTCTCCGAGTTTAGTGGAATATTCATCTTTAACCACACCTAGCAGCCGTATGCATTTTTACATTGAGCCAATGGAGTTTGAGAATATAGGCTAAAGGCCTTATACAAATGCACTTTAAAAAGCCACTTGTGCTTTTGCTTAAACTGTAACTTATTTATTTTGTGTACAATAACTCCTTATGTGGAACAGACTTTTCACTCCTGCAGTCTGTTTCAGCATTAAATTTTTTTGAACTACACATTTTCTCCTGTAGTGTTTTTTGTTTTAAACAGAATTGGAAACAACCTGTGAACCTTGGGGACAAAACATTGCTTTACAAATATCTAATTTTCTCACAATTTCCTGTATGGTATATACTAACCACTCTTTAAAAATCAATAGGTAGAAATATGAATTAAATCTTCCTCCTTTGCATAGTTTTATGTATTCAAGTCTTACAGGCACAAGCACCTTAGGTATTGTGGAAAGTACTCAGAACCTTTTATGTACCATATATTGTCCTTTGATGCAATTATGCAGAAAACAAGGCCTTTCAGACTAGGGTTCAGGATCCATCCCTCCCTCTTCTGGCATAAAAATCCTAATAATGGGGTTGTGGGGGTGAGGCTTGATGTTACTTAGATACGAACTTATTCGTGAGCTAAACACCAGCCTCTGCCACTTTCAACTCTTCTGTTAGAAACTGGTAGTATTAGCACAACCTACACTACACTTTTGCTTAGCGATAAATATGATGCCTTGAAGAATGAAAGTGAGGTTGATTAGTGGGTAAAGTAAATTGGCACAAACCTCTGACTTCATTCCATTCACAGAGAGAACTAGACAGCTGAGACATACTGACTGGAACAAATGGCACCTAGGCCCCAACTTTATCACACAATAATAATAATCATGGGGAAACAGACTCATTCTTGAGAAAAGAGGTGGCTATGACTTACCTAACCACAGACCACCCCGCAGACCCAGCCAGCTGGCTTAGACAATAAGCCAACAACCATTCTGCCTTCTTAAAAAGGACTAGTTTTCCTAGGCCAACCCCTAAGAGCTTCTAGCACTGGGTTTCATTGTCCTGAAACATCAAAATTCTCTTCTTCTCTATCACCCAAGTAGGAGACAGTAACCATTTACCCCAAATTAACTTCCAATTGCTTACAAAAATGTCACCTGCAAGACTAGCCTGCCCCAAGATGCTACTAGTCATTGCTTGGTGGTCACCTGGACAAAGTGTTTCCTTCTGGTTGGAAGATTGGCTGCAGGCAAAGTCAAAAGCCAACCCCTGGGAGTCAGGCTCCCAACTCCGCTCCTGATCTAGGGCATCCCCACCTAATGCCAAGCTTAGCTAGAATATCTTCCACTCATCACTTGCAATAGGGCAGTTGCTTCACCACCAGACCTGCTGCAGTAATGTGCAATTATACCAGCCTGACCAGAAGGATCATAGACTAGATTAAGTTACAGTCTCATTTGAGCTTTAATGCAGATGTGTCAACTAACTCATTGTCATCCAAGTGACTAATGTCCACGTCAGACTGGCCAAAGTGCCACATACAAGCCAAAACCAGGGTAGGTGACAGAGAGTTGCAAGCATCCCACCTTTCCCCTGGAGCAGGTTCCTGGCATGGTGCTGGTATGGCAAAAGAGGGGTGGGGGTTGGAGAAGGATGAGCGCTGCAGGAGAACATGATACATTACGTCTAACCAGACCACTGCTTTCTTATTTTTAAAGACCCTCTCCCCTCCACCCATTTCACTACAACTACTAAGATAGGGAAGCCTTCCAAAATCTGGTATAATATCCTTTGACCTCCCCACTTTGGCCAGCATCCTACACCTCCAAACGCAAAATTCAATCCTCTACCACAGTGGAGAATGGCCGTGTCCCGTACTGTGTAGATGAGGTTTGCCTGATGAAGCAGTGGCATCTGCTGAGCTGTTCCTGCTTGTAGATGACTGGAGGGAACTCGAAGGCCCTTGAATCCTGTTGTGTATGTGTGGCTGGAGGAACACGAGAAGGAGTCCACCAAGGGATAAGCAACAGCCACCTGGATATCTGCTTGGCCTCTACAGAAAATTTGGGTGCTAGCCATGATCTCACTTTGGGACAGCAAGCATCCTCCTGCCAGTTCACAGCATGCAGTGCTCATGTTGACCCCCAGGTAGGGGCCAGTTCCCTGCCGTAGCTCTCTATCTCACCCTCCCTCAAAACTTCTGTTGCTAGGGGGGAGGGATAGCTCAGTGGTTTGAGCATTGGCCTGCTAAACCCAGGGTTGTG